AATATTTGTTAAACAAGGACCACCTGTATGCATTGCCTTAATGAACTAGCACAATCCCTTGCATCTAGAAGGTAGCACATTAGAGAAGAACAGTACTTATTTATTTAGATATGCAATCTTTTACTTATATTCTCAGAACAGTCTACAATATAGAAATCAGTAGTAAAATGCAAGCAGTTATGTGCCTCTGTATATGCACATGTTTGTTTCTGCAATCATAGAATAGTAAGATGGCAAGCAATGACCTGTGTATGGAATGCCCAGTGGTCTGTATATGGAAATGCCACCCACTTTTACCTTCTTTTTACTTCTACCCTCAAAATGACGCTAAAGAGCACTGCACACCAGAACAACTAGTCACAAGGGCAGTTTTTTCCCGAATGCCATCACTCTTCTTAACAACTAATTCCCACAACACTGTCAAATAATTTACTAAGACTGTATTACTATTCTTCTTCTCTTCCTTACTAGTATCTATCTCTTCCCATTTATTACTATAACCATGTGCTTGTATCTTTCAATTTATATTGTTTTTACTTGTTTCCTAGTACGATTTGATAGCTTATTAGTAACCTTGACTATCACTAAGTGTTGTATCTTTTTATTCTTGAAGAGTGTATTTTATTCTCCTTATGTACACTGAGAGAATATGCACCAAAGACAAATTCCTTGTGTGTCCAATCACACTTGGCCAATAAAGAATTCTATTCTATTCTATTCTGTTCTGTTCTGTTCTGTTCTGTTCTGTTCTGTTCTGTTCTGTTCTGTTCTGTTCTGTTCTGTTCAGCTAATAGGCCATAGGTGTTCTAAATCTGTACCTGATCAAGGTAATGAAGGCCAATGGGTTGAACAACATTCTAGATGTGGGGAAGGTATTATTCAAGAGAGTTCATATAAGTGGCCTTCAGCCTACATTGGAAGGTGTTAGGCATTCTTTCGAGGGTGCTCATGGGATCCCCGCACGAGGAGACGTCTTTTATTATTCTAGATTAATATACAAACTGTGACTTTCTGGGCTGGGAAAGCTACACCGGTTTGTACTTTGATAACTTCTCAGTTGGATTGTTGCAATGAGCTGCACAGGGAACTACCTTTCAGGACAATACAGAAACTTTAAGTAGTTCAGCTGTAAAATTAGTAATTGGATCTGACTGATAGGATCATGTTGCCAACGTTTCCATCAGCTGAATTGGCAGCCAGCCCATTTCCAAGCCAAATTCAGGATTTGGGAATTGTTTTTTATCACTCCAACTGGTTTAATGTTGGTATGATACAGAATGAATTTTTGTGCATTGGACTGAGAGGTCCTGCACTGTACAAGGTCAAGATAGGCACAACTTCTCTGACCCAGTCAATCATTGCAAATGGCCATCTGCTCGAGAATATCTACTACTGGAATAATCTTGAGACTGAATATTAAACAGGTTTTGTTCTCATTTTAGAACTATCCTTTTTGTTTATTTTATAAAAAGTAACTATAGGGTACGGTATCTCTGATGCAGAAGCAGAGCGCCATCTTGTGGACGATAAACATTAAATTTTAAAAAATGTCTTCTAGTTGGCACACAGACAATGAATTTAGAAAGTGTCTTTCCAGACTAATTGTTACAAGAAATTAAACCAGGATGTAAAATAGATTATCATATAATTTTGCATTTTCTAGGTCACTACTTTCAGAATTGAAAAAATCAGGATACAAATGATTAGATATATACCCTGTGCTTATAAAATTAGAACAATCCCCATTAGTTTCAATGCATCTCACCTTTGTATTAGTTCTTGTGCTAAGCTATGGTACTCAAACGTTACAGAAAGCTCAAGAATAAACATTTCAATGTCCAAGAAAAATATTCTTCCAGTTTTGCAACATGTTCTTTCCTATCTTTCCCACATGTCCCACATGCTCCATGTACAGTTTTCAGACTAAATCCTTGGTTTTCTGAGTATGCATCCTGCCAGTCTCTTAGATCTACAGCTTTGCTCTGCTATTGGGCACATTGATGAGAGTGATGTTAGTCTCTGGTGGCAGCAAAATGCATCATACATCTTAACAGAATTGATCAGAATAACAGAGTTGGAAGGCACCTTGGAGGTCTTCTAGTCCAACCCCCTGCTCTGGCAGGAACTCTATACCATTTCAGACAAATGGTTGCAGAAAAAAAATGCCTTTAAAAGCCTCCGACGATCCCAGCTGAGTTGCCTGATCGTCAGAGGCTTTTAAAAGCATTTTTTTTTGCAACCTCTTAAGGTTGTAGAAAAAATGCTTTTAAAAGTAAAAAAAAAAAAAAAGTTGGCCATGCCCACCTAGTCAGATTACACACACCCCACCAAGCCACGTCCACAGAACCCGGTAGTAACAAATTTTACATTTCACCACTGCTCCCAAGATACTTATGCTAGTTGCCAACTTCATTAAGCACCTGCATGTTTGCTTTACCAAATTTGCACAACCTTCATGTGCATCATTGTCCTTGTTCCCAGATCAAGAGGCCTCACTTACGGACATCTCAATCCTCCTGTTGATTCTTGCAATACACTTTGCCTGGGGATGCCTTGGAGCTACAATTAGAATTACAATGTCCAGAACACAGTGACACAGGTAATTATTGGCGTTGCTCAATACCCAGATGTAACACCACTACCTGCAAGCTGTGCTAGCTTCCTACAGGCTTCTGGATGCAATTTAAGGTAATGGTTATCACCTATAGCCCACAAGGCAAACTGCCAGCCCATTTGCAGGATCGTCTTCTCTCAATGATACCCAATAGGGCGGGCCTGCTCTGGGTCCCTCCCCACCCCACCCTTTGAAATAATGTCATCTTTTGTGACCAAAAAAACCTTTTCTACTGCAGCTCCTGCCCACTGGCTTCTTTCAGCATATGAATGGCCTTAACCCTCCAGGCCATTTAGGAAAGGCAGTGAAAACCTGGCTCTTTCCTGGAACACCTGAGTCAGGATGGTTAGAAGAATGCAATAAATTTGAATTCCCAATTAATTAATTAATTATATTTTTAGTTGCCATGTTTTAATATCTTTGTTTATTGATTTATTTTTTTTTGTATAGTGTTTATAGTCACATTAGTCACACTTTGGACAGCCATATAAAAACTGTATAGTAAATAAATCCCCAGCCCCATTTTACAATTCTTCACGAACAGAAAGAGCAATTTTGCCTTGATATTGCCAACAGCAAGGAAGTATTCAGGCTAATTGCAGGGTTCCTTCTACTCATGGGAGATATAAAGATGTCAGCTCTTAAATACCATTTTTTATGTTACTGTTTGCACTTACAATTTAAATAAAAGTACATATAGTACATACAGATATCTAGATCCAAATCAATAGATAATTGTTAGGGTTGTTATTGTACAGTTTAAACACCCTACACTCTATAGCAGGGCTGTCAAACTCCCAGCCCATGAGCTGGATGCGTTACGCGCTGGCCATGCCCACACCTGGTTTAGTGAAGGGGGGGAAATCCTGATATGTCATATGATGCCGCCATGACAACGTGAGTTTGACAGCCCTGCTCTACAGGCTGACATGCATCTCGTGATCCCTAAATAAACTTTACATGAGAATGAGATGCTTGTTTTTTGACTGGTGTATTTATAATACAGCGTCATTAACACTGCATTTCTTTTTCCTACTCCACACTGGAGTTTTCTGGCTGTTAATATAAAGGTTGCCCTACCAGTATTGGCTGAGGTGCAGTTTCTTCCTTGATGGTACCTAGTTTAGGATATTGTTTCTTCTTTGATGTTTAGCTGGTGCTGTTCCCTGCTTATCTGGATGTTGGCTGCTAAGGAAGATGGGTTGTTTGTTTCCTTCACTGACTTCTGTTACATCTTTTCTTAAATGGTACATGGATAGGGTTTGTTTCTATGTGTCTGTTAATGGTCAATCTGTCTGAATGTCAAGCTTCCAGGAATTCCCAGGATTTGTTCTCAACGTGCTGGCTCGGGAATTCTGGGAGTTGAAATCCACACATTTTAAAGTTGCCAAGGTTGAGAAACTCTGCTGTAGAATTTTAATATTTTCCCAGTTAAAATTGGCTGGGCAAGCTATATACCAGTGATGGCGAACCTTTTCAGCACCAAGTGCCCAAACTGGAACATGCGCACTTGCACACACGTATACCAGAGCAATGGAAATCTGAAGACCAGCTGTCCGGTGTGCATGTGCGCACCGGCTACCTGGTCTTTGGGTTTCTGGCGCACACTTGTGCACTGGCCAGCTGATCTTCGGGTTTCTGGTGCTCTGGTGCACACAAAGACCAGCTGGCCTGCACGCAAAACCAGAAGAGAAACTGATGACGGTGCACATGTCCACAGAGAGGGCTCTATGTGCCACCTCTGGCACGCATGCCATAAGTTCGCCATCATGGCTATATACTGGGTAAACAGCCAGCAAACGCTACTCTCCCTTGCATTGTTGATGTTACCCAGCCAGGTAATGACAGGTCTTCCAGAAAGCAATAAAGCCCAGAGAATACCAAGAAGTTAACTGTTCAACTCTTGAGTTCCCTATATTCCTTACTGTTGGAACAGAGTAAAATGGCAGCAGCTAAGGCACGGTTGTGCTGAGCTAAGCATAAGGCCAGACTAATATAAGCACAAACAGTGCTTGCAGTATGAAATTAAAGTGACTGGGTCACTGGCTAAATAACACACAAACCAATAAGAACTAAAAGTCACTATGATTATCCTTGTTCAGGAAGAGAAATGGCTTTTAAAAGATGGGAATTGACAAACTGGTTTCTTTATTGAGGTTGTGTAGGACAGGAAAATTTTCATTTTCTGGGACCAAGAATTATCATCCATTTTATTAGGATTCCTATACTGATTGCGCTATATTGACTTGAAGCTGAAGATGTGCCTTTAAGAACTGGCATGCTTTGGTAGGAAACCATCTCTGAAAGCAACAAAGCATGGAATGCTCTTCAATCACTGGTGGAGAACAACTTAAATGTAGTACATAAATAAACACACCAACACAAATTCTATACAAAACCTGAAATATTTTACTTTTAAAATTTTGATCTAAGTTTACTTAGATTTCATGGACTTGATACAAGAGCATTTGATATGAATTGGTAAATAAAACACTGTAATAGATAGCCACAATAAACTTTGTTAGAAATGTACATGTTGTGAAAATAATAATCATAAACATAAACATAAACATAATAATAATAATAATAAAACCAGCATGATGTCTGTGTTATATTATATAAATGCTTGACAATAACAGTATACTAGGGAAGCTTTAAAAAACTTGCTTAACTCTGGGGCCCTATTCAACTAACATTTTTGACGCCAAGAATTCAGACCCAGTCCCTCACCATAACTAGAAAGGTCAGTTAATAAGGCCTCAGTTGTTTTCTATAGCTGTTTTATTTTTTCCTCATGGACATCACATCCAGGTAATGTGTATATAAACAAAGCTCATAAGAAATGTACAAATATAAAAAGCTACAAACATTAATAAATTACATCATCACAAAACACAGAAACACTTCACAAGGTGCTAATAAAATAATTGTATCCCCTCATAATACAAGAATTGAGACAAGGAGCTGGTATTATAAAGTCGAAGATTCTTCTTCATATTGTATCTTAAATAGATAATTTTGTACTATTATTTGATTCTGTATAAGGCTGCACAAAGTTTTACTTGTTTTTCAGGCAATGCCAAAATTAAAAAAGGGAGAAAAAGGAATTAAATCGAGGACAAAAACAGAGTATCTCTTTCAGAGTCAAGAACCTAAAATACTCGGCAAAATACTCAGCAAAAAATTTGTATAAAGGTTAATGAACTATTCTATAGAAAGAAATGTCTAAAGATACTTCGATCTTATAAAAAAGAAGGTACTTTAAAAAGCTATTTACAGGCTAGATTCTATGAAAAAATATGCTTTCAGACACATATCTATAAATGAAAATCTGGAATTGCCTGAGAAACAAATGCAACGCCTTAAGGCTACAATCCTGTACATAGTACTCTACACATGAGAGTAAGTTCCATGGAACATGACAGGTTTGATAACTGAGTAAACATGCATAGGATTGTGCTCTAAGTGTTTATATGCAGACAAGCTAGTTTAATGTAAAATATAATGCATTCTACACCAAAAACTAAGAGAGTTCAGAAGCAATAAGTATCCAGTTAAACTGTCCATAAGCTTGGCTCTCATCTGGCCTGACCCTTAGGTGAGCACAGCCCTTGTTCCTTCAGACAAGCATATCTGAAGGAAGTGCTTGGATGGATGTGAATGTCAGAATACCTCTGATAGGGCTGCACATTCTTGCTACTTCATTACAGGATTTGCAACTGTGGTTTATATATAAACAGCTGATCTATTATATTACTAAATGGATTCATAAGCTTTAAAAAGTTTGTGTGTATTCCTTTCTGGGGGAAAAATAATCTTGTTTGGGGCACTTTTTCTCCTGATATGCAGCTCAAGGAAAAGGGTTTGGTTATAGATCAGAAAATAAGTGCTTGGGGTCCCAGGACAACAACTTCTTTGCTTGATTTGTTTACATGATCCAGGAATTAATCCATGATCCAGGGAAATGGAGGTGAAAAAGGGACCATTGTCTTCATCCGTTTCATCTCAAGATAACGTAAGTGATTTATGAGGTAAATCATCAGTCATGAACTTAAGTGTGAATTGCTAGAGGGAGATTAAAAGCCCCTTCAAAGAAATAAGGACAGAGATATTTGACTAAGGATGCCATTTTATAAGATACTAACAGCACTTAGAGTTATATACCGCTTCACAGTGCTTTACAGCCCTGTCTAATGATTATGATGGTGATATGCCTGCTACCCAGTGGTGAAATCCAATTTTTTTTACTACCAGTTCTGTGGGCATGGCTTGGTGGGCGTGGCAGGAGAAGGATACTGCAAAATCCCCAATCCCTCCCCATTCCTGGGGGAAGGATATTGCAAAATCTCCATTCCCATCCCACTCTGGGGCCAGCCAGAGGTGGTATTTGCCAGTTCTCCGAACTGCTCATACTTTTCGCTACCGGTTCTCCAGAACCTGTCAGAACCTGCTGGATTTCACCCCTGCTGATACCCACTCAGGTTGCATCAAGAAAACTGACACTTTGTCACTTTGCAGAACAAAGGTTTTGGCAGCAGTATCTTGGGATCAACCTGGCGTCTCTTTTCCTACATATTCTCCAATGTCACGTTATCAGTGCATTATGAGCACCCAAGCAGAAGCTACAATGCTATCATCAAGTTAAATGGTGGATTCCACCCTACCATGAAATTAAATTAATGGTGATATAATTTCAAAACAGCAATGCTGAATAAAAAATACACATTTTTTATGTATATGGGGGAAGAAATACTTCCAGTTTCCATGGTCATGTAAACAAATTTTTAGCTAGAACAGGTGAGAGAAAGATAAATAAATCATCAAATTCAGACTGGATGTAAACACATTAATTCATTAACTATGGTTTACAAAAACACGGTGGCTCTATTCACACAACATGAGAAGCCAAAGCAAACAATGACAGTTTAAAATGATGGCCCACGCAACATACTAAGATATAGTACAATTGATTTGATTTTGCTTTAGCCTCTGTAGGCTGTAAACCATGTTATATAAGTACAGTAAGAGTCAGTGTTCTCAGACTTTAACTTTGAGGTACCAATTGATTTGTAATGTTTTACTCAATTACACATAATTGTGAGAGTTTAGCAGGGAGAGAAGGGTTGTATCTGTTTGCTGATCTTTAATTCCTATCACTCATTGATATTCAATTATGAGAAGAAAGACATTGAGCGTGGACAATATACCATGGGACCAAAGTTAAAACAATATATATAAGAAACAGTGGGAGTGCTAAAAAATTATCAATGAAAAGAGATGCAAACCAACACCAACCAAAGCTAATTAAAAAACCCTTTTGATGTCCAAAGAACTGCACCAGTTCATTAATTACTATATCCAAATCATTACCCAATTAAGTTGGATTTGTAATCCATAATGTTTTTAAAAAATCATCTTGCATTGCACATAAAATAAATTAAGTCAACAATAGTTCTCCAATGTCTGGTTATAGGGAAAGTTTTAGCAGTACTGAAGTGCAATTTTAACCTCTCTTCTGAATAAAACATATTTATCATGAGCCAGATAAAGAAAGCTAGATTAATTCTTTATGCATATTGTTTCATGCATGTATTGTATCTCAATTATTCATGGCATAAATTTCTTTCCCTTGTCTACAAGTCAATTTGAGAAACTTTTTTTAAAAAAACTCTGCCTTTTAACCAGATACCTCTTAAAATTGATTCAACTTTGATAAAAGAAGCATAATTGAAATGAATGTGCATACTCTTAAAAACAACAGCTTTTTCCTTACTTATAAACAAGTTAAAGGGATACTTTCCTAAAACTGGAATGATCCTCAGTGTCTTGGAGTATTAACTTTTTGCGAACTAGTCACTCTCAGCAATTTGAGAAAGGACATCTATATTAAAAAATATTTATAGCAGTATCTGTACAGGTTTTAACTGCCGAAAGTTAAAAAGAATTTATTAAAGTGGTGGCAAAAAGTTAACTGGTATTGTCCCTAAGATGTTGCACAATACTACTGGAGTCCTTCAAGAGTTGAAGAGCTAGCGTGACAGCTCAGGACATGCTGAGCTTTGATAGTCCCAATTATGACCGGATTTTAAAGGAGAAGTTTCCCATTCCGATGAATTTTCAAAATCTTCCCAAGCCTTTGTTTAGCTGTAGCCATGCCTTTTTTTGTACGTTTCCCTGGAAGTAACAGAAGAGAGACACGGTAAGCCAGAAAACAATAGCAGCAGCAACCAAAAAAACCTAGAAGTTGAAGACCAAGAAGGATGAAACAAATGCAACTGAAAATTGATTTAGAAAACATTGAACTGCATTTCTCTTCAACACAAAAGCATTTAACAAATATCCAGTTAAATGCTTTAAGCATCTCTATCTGCCCCATAAGGCTGAGGATGAAGAGAAGAGTTGCTTATAGCCACCTAATCAATTCAAAATTGAAATGATATTTTGATTGGATAATTCCCAAATCCTCTATATTACTGCATGACTCTATTCCTTGGATTAAGAAGCACATACATTATTAAATTACTGCAGCTCTAACTAATTTTTTGCATGTACAAATGATCTATCAGAAATGACACATCACAGAAGGAACTATTATTGTATCATCTTCTACATTAAAGTGTAGTAGAATTGTTTTCATCTATTGAGAAAAAGCTGCTTAGTTATTCCATTTTATCCTAAATTAGTTTATGAAACTGATTTATTAAACTGGTAATTTCAGATTAGTGCTTAGATTTTATAACAAGTAGTAAATGGTGTCATCTTCAATTCATTTGAGTTTTTAAAAGTATTCTCTTTATGACATCTCCTGCCTCCTCCCTTCATTGCTGCTTCTTGAATTAGGAAAGGCTACAATTTGATCTATCTTGGGACCCATTTCCAAAGTGTTTCTGTGGATAATGTAATCCGTTATACGTTGTTTTGTCCATTCATGCCTCTCTCATAATAAAACAAATACTTCATATGTGCCAATATCCTGGATGGTCAATTCAGGTTATAAAAACAATTACTTTTAGATAAAAATGAGTACAAGTTTTTTTATCTGACAGCTACAACAAAATCTCTGTGGGTTTTGTGAATAAACTCTCAGTAACTTGTAAAACCAAAGATTTACAGTATTTCACATAGATTTTTCAGGACAAGTAAGAAATACAGAGACTGATTATTCATGTTTTATGTTAGTCAAAATCCATATGTATGCAATCATACTATTGAAAATACACTAAAGTCTTCTCCAAACTAATGCCGTCAAATATATTTGAACAACAGTTCTCAGAATTCCTAGTCAAAGGAAAAAAAACAGAAAAGGAAGCATTTGATCATTAAGAATAAACGTGGAAGATGGCTTCAAACTAAGCTTTCTCGGGTACTATTGCAGTATCAGGTTGAACCTAGGACTTTTCCAAAGGCTGCTGGGATAAAGAATCAAGTATTAACAAAAGCCCCATTTCTGAAAAATGTAAAATCCAGTTGTTACTCATCTAGTTCTTCAGAACAGTTCCACATCTGTTCACCTTTCCAAACATATATGAACAAATGTCTGGAATATTTACAGTACCAGGAAAGAAAAACAAAACAGGTTTAGATGCTCCTAGTTTATATTACCTGTATGGTTTTTTTTTTGGGGGGGGGGCATATTTCTTTACTGAGAGTACTACAAGAAACTGAGATTTGCCAAATACTACATGTGTGATAATTGCTGGACAGCAGCTAAATGATCTGAAAGCTATATTCAAAGTTTAAGTACTTTGATTTTGGTTAAAAACTTTTGTGGCTTGGCAGCCCATTACCAGAGCATGGTCTGTTTGGAATTGGGCCACATGAGTGGTTGGTGGAGCAAGTGCAACTTGTGCAAGTGGCGGGCCAGTGAGCCATGCTCATGCGCCAGCCCCTTGCTTGCATAAAGGATGCGTACATGTGCACAGACTTGCCCCTCACGTGGTCCAGTTCCCTCCTCCCCCAGCTGGGCCCCCAAGCCACAAAAGTTGGAGACTGCTGCTTTAAGAGATCCTCACATTTTCTTGATATCCATATTTTACCCAATTCCATTGGGAAATAAATTAAATGAAATTTGCTTTGCCACTTCTAAGAATGAAAAATCTTTCAATTAGAAAAAAGTTACAAAATACAAAAAGCTAAACTTCTCTTCAAGTATTATTTCATGAATATCTGAGGATGAACTGTGTAAAGAATGCAATTATCTTAGCTCTCTTAGTAATTTCTCTGGTACTACCTCTTCCTTTATTTTCTCTGTCATTGTGTAGAAGAAGAGCAGGCTAAACTAGAAGGCAGAGTTAAACGTGTCATCAGTTTGGAGTCATTGCATTGCCACAAGTACAGCCTCCCGTGAATTCTGTTGAGCCTCATTTAATGCCAATTTAGATTTGACTGTTAGTTGACTGGATTCTTGTATTAAAGGTAGCAATAATAAACTCTTCTGTGCTTTGAACTCAATGAATGTTCCTGATTATTTGTGCCTGACACACTGAGTCTACAAGAGAGTTGCCCTCGGGAATGTAGCACTCAGCATGGCATGGAGACATTCCTTAGTGAAGGTGAACCTCAAAATATCTGAAGTACTAATTTTCAGACAAATGTGAAGAACATATCGATTATTAAGATTCAAATTACTACTTGGAAGGTATCTGAATTGGAAAAGTAATATTTATAACAAGTACCAGGGTTTTAACATCACTATTAACCTTATTGAGTACTTGGGAATTTATTTAAAAAAATACAGAAAACATTGATTGATGAAATTTTAATCAATTTTATACATCTAAATTATATAAATTTGTTTGAATGAATGCCTAACTAAAGAAAAGGTGAAATCTTTCAAAATTCTCCCTTAGACTGACCAGAAATGCCTCATTGGTTTTAATATATTCATATATATTCAATATATTTAGTAGTGCAGTTGAAAACAAATTGCAAAACTAAGGTGGACCATTTAGAAACTTAGTTGAATTTGAAAAACTTTCAACAAAATTCAGAACACTGAGTAAATTATTATGGAAATGCGACTCAAAAATTAAACATGTCAAAGATTGTATAATTAAATGGATTCATAAGTTAAGCATGACAATTAATACGTAACAATGAGAATACTCATGAAAGATAAATATTATTTACTATAAATATTACAAATGTCTATGAAGATTCTCAGTTATCCAGGTCATGGTTGTCTCAAAGCTGCTTTTTTTTCAATACGAATATTACACTTTTTTATAATAGAGATCTTGGATAAGATAGAAATTCACTGTTAATTATTTATTCTGATGACTCTTATTATACCGCTTGCCTCCGTTAATTACTGAATATGGATTTCATATTAACAATGATTTTTAAGTGCTTCATTGATAGAAAAACATATTTATATGCAGTATTAATCCAATGCAACTTTGAAAGTTATTCCATTTGATGTTGCTTATAAATCTCTTCCATTTTTTTTCTTTTTTCTTGATTGTGCTTTCAATTTAAAGAAAATAAATAATAAAATAAAATAGGATAATAAGGCAAGACATGTTGAGATATGTAAGCCGCCCAGAGTTACTCTATGTTAAGATGGGTGGCCAATAAATTTTATAAAAAGGTAAATAACAAACAAATAAACAAACAGATACACAAATGAATCAATAAATAATTTTGAGCCTCACCAAAAAAAACCTTTGATTGGCTGACCAAATCTTACACCATTCTTGAGACAAATCTATGGAAAGTACCTTTGGCAGCTGCATTATTCTGTGATGATGATGAGGCTCTCCGCTGTGTAAGGAAAACTCCCGGGGCCATGGGCTGAGGGCCTCTGTTCATTTGGGCCACCCCAAGTGTGCTGGCACCAGCTGTGTACTCATGGTCTGCTAAACTACTGCTATGGCACTCCAGCCGAGGTTCAGGAGAGCTGCCTTCCTGAGGGATTTTATTGGCATTGTTGGGAGATAGTTTCTTTTTGGTATTCTTTTTCTTCTTGCCCTTTTGCTCCTCCTTTCACATGATAAAGGAAGGGGAGGGGGAGAGAGAAATAACAATCATTAGCTTTCAAAAGTGATAAATAGTCATTAAGGACAGTGTCCTGAGGTAGGAGAAGATCAGGTAGCGCTGTGGGTCAGAGTTAAACAAATCATTAGCCTAGAGTCCTTACATTCCCAGAAACTATAAATCAGACCAGGGGTGAAATCCAGCAGGTTCTGACAGGTTCTGGAGAACCAGTAGCGGAAATTTTGAGTAGTTCGATGAAACGGCAAATACCACTTCTGGTTGACTCCAGAGTGGGGTGGGAATGGAGATTTTGCAGTATCCTTCCCCTGCCATGCCCACCAAGCCACGCCCACCAAGCCACGCCCACAGAACCGGTAGTAAAAAAAATTGGATTTTACCACTGGTCAAACCCCTCTTGAATTCTGTTGAGCCTTATCTGATGCTAATTTAATACTGAACTTTAATTGACTAGATTCTTGTGTATAGGCTTAAGCAATAAATCTTCTGAACTGCGAAGTAAAATATGGCCCTGATTCTTTGTAACTGACACCTACTCAAACAATGTATGCAAGAAATGTGATGAGCATTGGGAAAAATGCAGACCAAGAGACATAATTGAATATTTTTTTAAAAAATAGATGAGTGGCTGATTTTCTAATCTTACACCAAATTATTTGTCAATAATTTGATTTTCCAGAACCATTCATGGGTGTTGATCCTAAAAATGCTCCATTGATATTTGCCTGTTGTGTAAGTTTTTTCCATGAATTGTGTGTGTTGTATCTCTGTAAGTAATTTAAGGTTGCTGAAAACATATTAATGATTAGAACTGTTTTATACTTTTTAGAAATCATGCGATTCCTTTGTGATAACAGGAAAAAATACTGACAAATATTAAGAAATGAAATGCAGTATTTAGCTTTTAGATGTCATGCATATTATGAAATATCTTACTACACAGCTGCTACACTTTTAATAAAAAAACAAATCAAGCCAGAAAGCTATGGACTTCATTGAGAAGTGATGTGAAACAATGATATCACACAAAAAAAGTGCAGAACTGGTTTCTGAAAGGATACCATTTATGGACCTTTATTGACCATAACTCCTCAAATCAATTGATACAACTTCAAAAACTGATTCAGCAGAAAAAAAAACCAAGATAGTCCAATTGCCTTTTGGAAAAAAAATAACCTTTGGGACTAAGGTTTGCAGCAATCCGAAATTTACTTTGCTGCCCTATATGTAGTCCTCTAATAGGTGCATTAGATCAATGCACTGTGATGGGGTTGGCATGTTTACCTGAACTGGGCTGAAGACAGTTCAGAAGGACACTTCTTGGGTGGCCACTTGGAGAGTAAGTGTGTGCAGTAAGCTGCCTCATTGGAGAAGCAGTGAATAGAGGGACTGTGTGGAGAAAAGGAGGGCCAAATGGCAACAGAGGCAGAGTGGTGAGGGAAGCAGCAGATCAGGGGCTGCCTTCAGGTATCTGCACCTTTAGGAAGTGAAGTCAATATCAATTCCAAAAAGTCCTTCCATTTGAGAGACTAACATGGCATTCCAAGCACATTTCTCAAAATGATTTAGAAGGACAATGTTCAGCATTGGCTGGTTTTCCATATAACTCTGAGGATTGTAGAATAGAATAATTCTTTAGACCAAAAGCAGGGCCTCCTTTGATAAATCTTCTCATTAGTAATTTGTTCACGGACAACAATGTTCCATGAAATGTTCCCCAAAAGCAACATTCTGGGAAAGCGATGGCTGGGCCCTGTTTGGAAAGCTCACCTGCTGAGATAATTTGGCAGCAGCTGCTGCCAGTCCAGTCTCAATAGAAGCAACTCTTGTACCTTCTCGGACTGGTCTGTCCTGCCGTGGTACTGATGGACCAACTCTTGCTAAATGCAGAAGAAAAAATGGACAGTAAAGCTAACAGGTAATGGAGTGCATATACAATCCACAAATATTGCTAATGTCAGGAATATAACTATTTCAGGCACTACAAAGAAACAAATACAAACCCTGTAATACAAAAAATAAACCCCTGAGCCCTGGTGGCGCAGTAGTTAGAATGCAGTATTGCAGGCTAACTCTATCCACAGTCTGGAGTTCGATCCTGATGGGGCTCAAGGTGGACTCTCACCCTTCCGAGATTGGTAAATGAGGACCCAGATTCTTAGGGGCAAATGCTGACTCTGTAAACCACTTAGAGAGGGCTAAAAAGCACTGTGGGGCAATATATATAAGTCTAAGCGCTATTTCCATAAATATATAGACTGGACTCCCATACATTGTTAAACCTAGATTTATTAAATATATTTCTATGATCATATTATTAACTTCTTGTAATTAAAGCAAACTTTACCATGATTTCCACAATTTCCCCCCCCCAACCCAACCCTCCACCCCCCGGGAGAGAGAACTAATTGGGTCCCGAGTACAATTTTCATTCTCAATGTTTCAAAGCATTTAGAATATTTGCCCCCAAACTTCTCAGAATATTCAAAAAAAATGTAAAAGCAGTGCCATTATATGATTTGTGCACAAAATACAAAATTGGTTTGAGAAGATCTTAATTAGATCCAAGAAAACTTTGTAGAAGTTCTTCAAGAATACTATGGTTCTGACCTCCAAAGTCCAATCCTTAAAATAATCATGATGTGCAGTTCTCTTCTCTCTATCTTTGTCTTTTGTAATATTAAAAGGTAATATTCAATAAATTAAATTGTAATATTAAATTGTAATATTAAAAGAAAACAAATTGGGTACTAACAGGCAAGGACAAGCTACTCGGATCAAGATATTTTCCATATTAAAGTTTATTTGATTGTAGTTCAATGTATGCCATGTACACATATCACTGGAATCAATCAAGTTTTTGTCCTGTATGAGTTTGCATTTAAAATATCAAAAATATTACCTGTGGTAATAATTGTTACTTATTAACAATTAATAAGTATTAATATTATGTTGAGAAAATACTGTTATTATATGATCACTACTAATGAAGATTATTACTATTATGATGATGACCATTGCTCAAATTAACTGTAAAACACTTGTTTATATAGACATTGAAACTATTGCTCTTTCTTTATATAGTAAAAATAAAATATATATATTTTTAAAAAATTACCTGTGGGGCTGTATGGTGCGTCATCAGAACTTTTCCTCTTTTTTGATCGAGATTTGAACACTGGATTATCTTCATCTGATTCAAGGGAGGGATAAACTAAACCATGAAAAAGAAATAAAAATAAGAGTCTGGTATGGCATTAAAAAATTAGGGCAACCCTGTCATGCTTGTAGAAAATGGACCCGTCTCAATTTTCATAAAACAATTCGGCTGCATAACTGACTTTGGCTTTTCCATGTTATGAACCTGAAGCAGCCACAGATTTAGCTACTGGCAGAGTGAAGCTTTTTCCTGCCTCTTCTATGTTTCGCAGCTGGGTGGTCTCCCAAGTTGGAAAAACAGCGGAATAAGTCTACTCAGGTAATAACCCAGGATGAGACAAAGTTCAGTAGGAAGGAGATAGAGACCAATGTGATTTATGTTCTTAAACTTTTTCAAAAATATTTTTTGCTGAATTTTAAAAACTTTAAACTGTCTCTTATTTATAGTTACAAATATGTAAGTGGACCATAATACTACATGAAAAAGAAAAACAAACAGAAAGGAAAATTTTCCATTACAGGGACAAAAACATTAATCCTACTACACATTGTCCCTATACATGCACGTGGAGAGAGAGAGAGAGAGAAAGAGAGAGAGAGAGAGAGAAAGAGAGAGAGACGGGGGGAGAGAGAGAGGAGAGAGAGAGTGTGTGGAGAGAGAGAGAGAGAGAGGAGAGAGAGAGAAAGAGAGAGTGGGATAGGGAGAGAGAGAGAGAGAGAGAGAGAGAGGGAGGGAGGGAGGGAGGGAGGGAGGGAGATTCCTCCATTTAGGACTACATTTGGGACCTGCAGTTTGGCTTCCCCATTGATTTTGTTTGTCAGAAACCAGATGAAAAGGTCATAAATGGTGGTCATGTGATCCTGGGATGCTGCAACCATCATAAATGTGAGCTGGTTGCCAAGCACCTGATCATGATCAAGTGACCATTGGGACATTGAAACAATTGTAAGTACAAGGATTGGTCATAAGTCACTTTCTTTAGTTGCATTGTAACTTCAAATGGTCCTTAAACGAATGACGTTTAAAACTACCTATGTGTGTGTGTAGGTGTGTATAAGTGTGTGTATGTATATGTGTTTTATAAGTAGCCTTTGCTTACTGACTGCCTTGTTTAGGAACTATCTGAAGTTATAGCAATGTAAAAAAAAAACCCTTTGCAACCAGTCCTTGTATTTATGATCATCAGTGCCCATGGTCATGTGATTGCCATTTGAGCACTTGTCAACCTATGTCCATTTATGACCATGTTGATCATTTGAGTGTTTTCCAACCAGTTGGTGACAAGCAGGATTAATGGACAAGGTGGATGTTAAATACAAGTCAGAGACACGTGATGTTTCACTTTACAAGTGTGGTAACTCACTTAATAACCTAAAGGGAAGTTACATGGGCAGCCTTCTCTGTGGCTGCCCCAGGTCTCTGGAACCAGTTACCTCCTGAGGTCCGGACCATCCTCACCCTATTGGCCTTCCGAAAAGCGGTGAAGACCTGGCTTTTCCGGCAGGCCTGGGGCCATTGATCACGCTCTTGTGATCTGGCGAGATCTGGCCATAAATGGCTTGAATGAGTTTTTAATGTTTTTAATTTTTAAATGTTTTTTATAATGATTTTTTAAAATGTATTGTGAGCAGCCCTGAGTCTTCGGAGAGGGGCGGCATATAAATTGAATTAATTAAATTAAATTAAATTAAATTGTAAGTCTGTCATGGTCACGTGATTTTTCTACTTTGCAATTGAGGCACTTAGCAACAGAATTGCTGGTTTCAGTTGTGGTTGCTAAGTGAGGCCTACATGTGTGTGTGTGCTGCCTTCTCCACAACAATGCTCCCTAATACTACATTTTTACTTTGTAGGGACATTTCTCTTTTCCATTCAGTATTTCCCAGTTTCTAGTCTAAATTGCATTAAAGTTTGAAATAAATCCAAGTTAACCAAATAACCTATCCAAAATGGAGACTCTGTTTTCATTTTTTCTGTTAGGCCAATAATGTTTATACACCAGAAGTAATTGCATCAGTTTAACCACTGAATGAAAATGTGCTGACCAGATGTGGCACTAATGGAATCTTGGTGGACTAACCATCTTACAACAAAGCAAACCTATTAAGTGGTAGCGTAAATACATAATTAGCAAGTTGATCTCCCCAGAACAAACTTCTCTTCTTTCAGAATGTCACATTTAGAGCGTGTCTCTATATTACACTTTTGCCGAGTTTTAAAGTTAATTTAACTTGAGTGATATGTCTTCAGGTAATGTAATTTTAACATCTGTTTATGTTTTGTCAAATCTGTATAATGAAGAGTCACGTTTTCATTTAATTTAAGAGAATTTCAATATGTATATATTCATCGCATCAGATACGGAAAGCAGAAATTACATCTTTTTAAGGAGTTGTACCAAGGGCAGCTATTTTAATGCAATGTTGTGCATGTTGTGCATGTCCCTAATATCTATATATTTATTAGAAGCTAAATAATACTGTGTTTCTGCCTGCCTAGCTAACTATTTTATATATATTCAAATTGTCACTTTTTTAGTTTATTTTTTGCTGCCTTTAAGTCAGTCTTGACTCCTGGTGATTGCCTGAACTAGTCTGTACAGTTTTCTTGACAATATTTTCAGAAGTGACTTGCTATGACCTTCTTCCTAAGACTGAGACAATGACTGGCCCAAAGTCACCCTACTTTCTTTTATATCTAAAGGGAGGCTAAAATTCACAGTGTCCCATGTTCTAGACCGGTGCCTTAATCATTACACCAAACTGGTTCTCCTTCTACTGTTAGAGATAAAGATAAAAGTTTCCCCGTCCACTCATTTTCAACTCTATGGGGTGGTGCTCATCTCTGTTGGTTAGCTGAGGCAGCCAGCATTGTCTGTTTCCATGGTCATGTGGCCAGCATGACTATATGCCGAGGCACATATTGGTTACCTTTCCACCAAAGTGCTACCTATTTATCTACTTTTGTATTTGCATGTTTTCAAACTAATAGTTGGACAGGAGGTGGGGCAAGTAATGGGAACTCACCCTGTTGCACAATGCTCGGTCTTGAACTTGGGCTGTCAGCTTTCCAGCTGACAAGTTCAGTGTCCTTAACCATTGAGCCATTGCGCCCCACCTTCTACTATTACCATTCCATTAAAAATAAAGTTATTCTAACTTTGATGAAGCACTAATAAGTGAATCACTCCATCATTAATTTTAAAAGGTAGTACACAACTTTCCCCTTTTCTCCTCCTTACCCCAGAATTGAACTGGCATGCTGCAACATAAGCTGCTTTTAAAATGTGTAAAATATGATACAGAATGAACTGGAAGCAGGAAGAGAAAGTATTAATTGATAGGATGATGAAGAGTAACACTGAGAGATTTGTCTACACACTTGCCTTCAATCAACCCATGTATCATAAGCCTCAACACACATTCAAACATAAGTTTTTGCTAGTCTTATTTTGAAATTTTGAAATCTCTCAGCTGAAAAATTTATAGCAAACTCCCCCTATGTCACAAAGAGAAAGCATGTGATGTTCACTTTGTATCAGCTGTGCAGGTCAAACCACCGGCAACTATTTGGGCCTCTGCTTCAGGAACTTTGACAAAGAAACAGGGTGCTACTCTTTTCAGCTTCAGAAGAGCTATCTTTGGAAATTTCACTGCCTTTCTATGATTACTATCCAGGGGAGAGCTTAAGTAGGATTTTCATACCATAATCAGAATCTTTAAAACAAGCATCTAAGTGATCCTGGTCTTCATCATAATCTTCAATATCAATGTTGTTTTTTGCAGTCTTTTTCAACAATCGTTTGCCTGCATTTTTGCTATTGCTGCTTCCAGATTTTTTGGAGTTGGTGGCAGAGATGGCATTATTCTTAGCTTGATTGGTGCCCCATGAAGGCTGTAGGCAAGAGTCTGAAGACTGGAGATTTGCCATTGATAACATTCCTTGGATAGCTTCCTGTGTGCTGGGAGATGCAGGTGGTTGACTAAAAGAGAAGGAAGAGGGAAAAAAGAAACCTTTCAAATTAAAGCAAGTTATAGAATAAATACATAATATTATAAATCAGGGTGGATAAAGATCAATGATTTTTTTAAAAAAAACCAAAAAAATCAGATTTTTTTTTATTTAAATCGGATTTTTTTGATTTTTATCGAATTTATTTTAATAAAAAACTTTTGAGGTAACGATCTATCGTAAGATAGTTTTCTATTTAAGATACATAAATAATTTAGTTTATTCAGCATGAAATGGAGCTTAGTTATGTAGCATGAGGCTGTATATTCTGCAACACTGGGACTATCGGTGAGTCAACAGTGGGTCAAAGGAGTAGCAGAGATGACAGTTGCTCTTTTAAAATTATGATTTAAATCAAGTTGATTTAAATCAAGCCTTTTTACTAGTGATTTAAATCATGATTTAAATTGTGATTTAAATCAACTCGATTTAAATCAAATCCACCCTGTTATAAATTGCTAATTATGTCATCCATTGTCATATGTGTGGCTTTTTTCCACAAACATGTCAACCCCACATGGGAAAATGTGGCTTTTTTTCTGGTCAAACAGGTCAACCCCACATGGGCAAATGTATAGGATAAAATTAGACATTGCGGTGAAAAACATACAGAAACCAGAAGAAGGGGATTTCAGAGGCACATTTGAAACATGAGAGTACTTTCACTTCCCATCTGAAGTTATAATAACTTTCAACATTTCCTTCTTCTAGGAGAAGATAGAATTGTTCCCTGTTGTTCTGCTGAAAGAAACAATTTTATCAATTGAATATTTTAATTGGATCCATCCATTATATTTAAATACAAAAGACCAAGGGACAATTGTCATGAAAATTCTAGAATGGATGTTGTGATGTTACATTGCATTGCTAAATTAGGAATTGTGGATGGTTCTTTTCAATTGATTCAAATGCTATTGTATTTTTTTCTTTCAAGGTAAGTTGTTAAACAAAGTCTAGTCTAACAAAGTAGGGGAAAGCATTAAAAAATTATCTAAATACTTCCAATTATTTTTTTTCCAGTGAAAAACACTATAAGGAAATGGAAATTTGCATGCAATACTTGAAAGCAAAACAAGGTGTGAAGTGAAAGTCCAAGAAAAATCTCTTCTGGAACTGCCTGGGACATGATCAAATCTGCAACACAGAATCTATAGATCACTGCAGATGACAGTATAATTCTAGATGCCATTGGGGTAGCTGTTTACAGTTCCACATCACAATGTTGCTGATTCCACAATAATCTGCATGAGTGAAGGAAACATTTTCTCTGACTTCATTGTAAGAACCATCAACAAAATATGCAACAGAAAACTTTATAAGCCTGGAATGTTTTCAAGCAAAGTTCCTTGGACTGACAAAACCATAACTGATTTGGCTACAATTGCACAAGATACACTTTGGGGGTTGGGGGGAAAGGTGGATGAAAATGGCTCCTTTATGCTTTGGTAATGTGTGACAGCCATTGCCAAAGAAAATGCTGGGAGGGGGATTCAACTAAATACCAACATATCCTAAGACAGCCTAATGTCCCACAGTCAGTGAAGAAACTGAAGTTGACAACAAGCTGGCTATTTCAGCAAGAAGGCAAACCAAACGATGGTATATCTCCAAATTGACCATGAAGTATTGACAGAAAAGAAAAATAAATGTTTCAGACTGGCCTACACAGCCTCAGAATATTATCAAAAATGAGGGGGGGGGATTTCAATGCATACAGGAGGTCTATTTTTGAGCTGGAAGACATCTGCGGGAAGAAAATTCCAAAGGCTCAACTGGCTACAAACAATATTGTGAAGCTACTATTTCCACCAAAGGTGTGGCAAATTACTGACTGGAAGGGAGTTTTGCACCTGCCGTGATAATTGTTTATTTTGAATGCATAAACAGCATGCATTCATATTTGCAGAAAGATGTGTTGTTGAGCTTTGTATCATGCTAATGTATCAGCGGCCATGCAACTGTATTTATAAGTCAATTTTCTTGAAGAGGAGCCCTGAAGAAATGAAAACAGCAACAGTAGCTCTTTTTAGTAATACAGGATATGGGTGAGCACTTGCTTCCCCTCATTAAGAAAATGAGTTCAAAAGAGAAATTCCTGAAAAGAGAGACAATACATCAACCTATTCTAAAATATGTTAGACTCTGGAAAAACACCCTATGATGTTCAGCAGGTTATGTTTGGATCATTTTTGGATAGAGTTGGTGTTTTAAGGAATTTGTCCTTTTGTAGTGCTATGCCAAAAATTAGCAAACCTGATTTTATTACTATCATCAACTCTAAGAGCATTTAAGACATTTCTTTGTTTTCTCCAAGAGCTCTCTTAAAACCTTGAACCCTGAATCAAATGTAAATGGACCATCAAAAGTTGCCTGCCAAATGGGAAAATTAGAGGGGAACTGCCTAGAGGAAGGTGAGTGTTAGCAAATAAATTGTGGGATCTGATCAAAACCAGTGGCTGGGCAGGCAGAGGGAAACCAAGTTCTTCACAAACTCTTAAAGTGACAGAGCATTCAAGCACGAACTCAAGTGGAAGAGACTCCTAAAGGGCTGTGTTTTTTTAAACTGAATTGCCTGTCACTTTGCCTTGGGTTTAAAGATTCTGTTGCTCCTACTCTTGAACAATTTCCTTAATATCAATAAAATCTGTGCAAGAAATGTTTACATTGGATTGCGCCCAATGTGTTTTTCATTAAGGATATTTGTGTGTTAGTAATTCTGGATCTGCTCAAAGTGAAATATAAAACAGGAAACAATTATTAAACCCTGGAAAATCATATCCCCTTTTTGTACTTGTAGTGATTATTAGCATATATTTTTCTTTAATGACAGCAAATACCGAAGAAAGGTTTTTTTTCATACATAATGAATGGCTGGTGCAGAATTCTACACATCATTAAGATTGGTTCTCTGGCTGAATATAATAATAGCATAATCATAGATCTCTTTGTTCTTTAAAAAACATATGTATGATAAGTCTTGACTGTCAACATTTGAGTGAATCTTTTTTTCAAGAAAAGGTAAGGAGGAAGACTTTTGATCAATTTGTTCTGTTTATAACATGGTTCCCAGGCCTACCCAGCCCCTGTCCCTTCTCCTTTTTATTCTTATATTTATCAAAGTAAGGTTATGTTTTTTTTAAATTTGATTTATATGCCGCCCTTCTCCAGAGACTCAGGGCGGCTTACAATGCGTTAAGCAATAGCCTTCATACTTTTGTATATTTATACAAAGTCAGCTTATTGCCCCCACAAACGGGTCCTCATTTTACCTACCTTAGAAAGGATGAAAGGCTGAGTCAACCTTGAGCCTGGTGAGATTCGAACTTACAGTAATTACAGACAGCTGGTGTTAATCACAATGCTTTTAATCTGCTGAGCCACCAGGCTAAAGGATGTTGATCCTTTAATGATTTTTGTATATAATGCTGTTGCACTATGTTGTACTAATTAGTGAGTACTAACTAAATTTAAAAAGGTATCTAGGAGGAGAAATATGCAAAATGAAAGTTGTGTAGTAAAATATATTTACACCTAATTTTATCTGTTATGTGTCAAAACCATGATTAGTTCTGTCAGTCTGCCAGTTTTGTTTTGAATAAACAAACTTTAACTGTTCAAGGATTGCCACATATGTAATTTTTAAAAAGTTCTATATGTAATTACAAAAAAAGATTTCTCTGTGAAGAAAATATAATATATAAATTCCAGTGCATTACGAATAATAATTATTTCTCTAAAAATGAAGTATAAAAGATCATTCCAGTTCTTTTATCCAGACACAGACTGTTTGTTTTTCCATTTCTGCTATTTCAAGAATCCAATTAATTCAGAATAATTCAGAAAGGCAACATGGTTGTGATAAAAAGTATTAGAAATCTTATTGGGGGTGAAATTTGGTGAAACATTACTCTGTACCTTGATGTATTATTTCTACAGCACAGGTCCAGAAATTTGTGCCTGTTTGGAGATTCTTCAAATACAATTCCAATTTGCAAAGAATAGCTTGATTTCTACAGGGAGATCTAGCATCTCTCTAGCTATGAATCTCTCTAGCTATGAATCAATACCTGCATCTTTGTGTATGGCATTACTTGTGATTTCAGAAGGATAACACTGATATAGATACCTATTTAAACAAATAAATTGAATCTGGTGCAATGAGGAGTACTAGGCAGCCAGATCTTTATTTATTTATCAACTGCTGTATTAGTTTTCTGAATTGCTCTAGAACAGGACTACTCCCATACATTGTGAGATACTGCAGTGCAGCAAAGCTCACCCACCAGACACTTGTGCCATACAAAGGATTGTTCCAACAATGGAAGGGGTATTTTGTTCACAAACTTCTCAAATATAGATTTAATAACATCTGTCCAGATTTGCTTGACCAACTCCAAATTGAAGAGTTGAGAAGAAGTCCTTCTCAATGAAGTACTGAATGATTTATACCTTGAGTTTTTCTGGAGTTTCATTTATTCCCAATCCTTTGTTTGAAGCAAACTTATAATGTTCTACTTTGAAATTAATTGTGAGATAAATTCATTATGCAGCCTCTAGCAAAGTGTCCATTTTGGAAAAAAAATATGTATTAGTCAAATTAATTGGTCTCAACAAATCAGAGATCATCAATTCAATGGATTACTAATGGTTACACATACTACATATCTATTTTAGGGTAATGCCCTAGGATAGATAACTTAAACTGGGAAGTGGAGGGACCTAAGATTTGCATTTGCCTTTTGGTGGGATATTGAGGGTGAATCTCAAAAGGTAGACAGAATCAGATGTACTTCCAAAATTTGATTATATTAATGCATAATAAATTATATCAAATGAATACATATAATTACTTTGGCATATTTAATCATTTTCTCCTACAACTACACTAAATCCTGTAATATTGTGGTGACCTTTGACTGGGTTCTGAGGGCCATGGCTTTTAATAAATTTGGGTAAATAAATAGGGGTTGTATATGATGCATTGTAAAAAAGAATCTACCAACATTGGTTAGATCTTTACATTTACACAAAGCTTTCTCCTTCCTTTCTTTCTTTCTTTCTTTCTTTCTTTCTTTCTTTCTTTCTTTCTTTATTTATTTATTTATTTTTATTTATTTATTTATTTATTTATTTATTTATTTATATGTATACCGCCCTTCTCCAACAGGACTCAGGGCGGTGAACAGCCATGGTAAAACATAACATATAAAATTTAAAAGCAATTTAAAAACATTAAATAATTTTGGCTATCCATTTAAAACAACCCTGATTAAAACCAATTACAAATTAAAACCGAAGGGATGGGATCAAGCCAGCCTGGCTAGGTGAAAAAGATGTGTTAACCATTAAACTACACTATATGAAATATAATTAATAAGAAACAGATTTTAATTCTTCACTGAAGAATTCAGGTTACTTTGCACAACCTTTAATGGACTAGTGAAATGAAAAGTATCTCAGGAAAACTTCTGCCTTAATATATTTACTAATCTTTAAGATGCCACTATATTCTCCATCATTTTGGGGTGTGTTCTCTGTGTCTTAACCTTTATAAGCTATATAAATCAAAGAAATATTATAAATACATCAGGGGTGAAATCTACTTACCTTCCGTACTGGTTTGGAAGCGCAGACCTTCTCTGCATGCGCAGAAGGTAAAAAACACATTACTTCCTGGTTAAAACCAGGAAGTAATGACACCCTGGGTGGGCAGAGCTTTGCTCCGCCATCGCGACCGGATCACCGAGCCACCGGCCAAGATCGCCACCGGATCAGGCAATCCAGTCCGATCCAGGAGCATTTCACCCCTGAAATACATATTATGTAAAGAAAGAGGTTAACTATCCTTATACATACCTGTTGCTGTTGTACTCTAAACCCCCAACTTCCTTGCTTGCCTGCAAAAGATCTAGAATGCCAGCTGAACTTGCAGCCTCTTTCTTCGCTTTAGAATTGCGCCCTGGCTTGGCCTCTGTGTCAATGTGAAGAGAATCTTCATCAGAGGAGTCATCACTCTGCAAAAGTCAAAGGAAGAGTATAACCCAACAGTTACTCATGCCCTGATCACCTAGAGAGGATTACTACAACATGCTTTAGATAAGGCTGATCTTATAGAGCATCCAGAAGCTTCAGAAGCTGCAGAGTGTGGCTGCATGGTGTAGGGGGTGGCAAATTTTTCAATTCCCAAACGTTAGGGATACTCAAATGTTGTGATATGCCTTGGGGATTGTAAAGATATTTTGGTTACTTTAATATAATTTATATGTCCTTGGTAAGTAATTACATAAATATAATAACTTTTAAACTTTTTGTTTGTTTCGTTTGAGCCCCCAGTATGGTGCATGTCCTTGAGCTATGTGGGCTGCCTGTCAGCTTCTGGATGTAATTCAACCTGCTGGTTTTGAAGCAGCACTTTAAAGCCGTACATAGCATAGGACCAGGTTATCTGAAGGAGCACTTCTTCCCAATTATATCTTCTGTCCCATTAGGGCCAGCAGCTGTGGCCACTATGGCCACTATGTCTTCTGGATCTCATCAGATGGAACTCCTTACTAGATGGGTATATTGTGGTTCCCATCTACTAAGGATTTCCATCTGATGAGATCCAGAAGACATGCCTTCTCCACAGTGGCATCATCCTACCACCTACCCTGAGATTAGCCCCACCGCTTTTAGCCTTCCAGAAATGCTAAACATGATTTTTCCAATGACTTCTAGGAATCCATTGGGAGCCTGGGAGATGGTTGCATTATAAGAGTTCTCCCACAGTCTTGGTTTTTCTACTTTTTCTTTTTATTTGTACCTTAGTATTTTAATGATTGCTATACTTTTTTGGTTGTCACTATGGTTGTACGTTGCCCAGAATCATGTTCTCTGAGATGGGCAGCTATATAAACCTGCTAAATAAATAAATAAAAATTGTACTAATTGGACTCAGCTGTTATTTGACAGATATTATTAGAAAAATGTTTTTGCACAATAAAAATTACTTTTACGGTAGTAATCTAGAAAGATATATCCTAAATGATTCTGTTGGAGTCTGCTGATGTACTGAGAAGAAGACAATTCTTGTTTGCCTCTGTATCCTCAAATCCAGTTCCTGAAGATTCTCCAACTCACAGAATTATTAGTTAATTATTATTAAGGAGCAAAGGGTTGGTTGCACCAAAGAGAGGAGAAAAAGAAATCTCCTATGTTAGATGAAGGCCACCAGAGGGGCACTAGATTCCAGATGGAAGCTGTTTCCATAAACCAGTCAAATCACTCATCCAACTAGAATAACATAATTAACAACTGACTTGCAATAGATACCCAGAGTTTCAGCAGAAAACGTCCTCTACCCTTTTTGGAGAAGTTTTTTTTCTGTGTAACCAAATGATAAATACAGTATTATGTCAAAATGTATTTATTCATCACTGGAAATGACACTTGGTGGAATGGATTCTTCCTAGAGCTCTAAATACATTCCAGAGGATTGAAGAACCAATTGAAGAAGATTGCAAGATATTAAAGAGAAATGAATAGAACTCTCTGTAGGATATAGACAGATGTTAAATTCTTTTGGGAAAGAAATGTGCATTACTGTAGGGAAAAACTTTTCTTGTCAGTGTATAAAAAGCAATAAATATGCAATGTATGTCTATGATTCTGGTAAGTGGCACAAATCCTATTAGGCATGAGAGTAATTATATACTGACAGAATACCTTGTATAATACTGATTCCACTTTTGGCTTCTTCACTGGAGTGTGCTGTGTGGTTTCCTTTTTATCTGATAAAACTAGGAAGAAATTGAAATAGAGTTTTTAGATTTACTAAATAAAAAAACAGCATGTAGGCAATCCATCTCATTTTTAAAATGTATTTCCGATTACCCTGGTAATATTTCATTTCTGCACATACACTCTTAGCTAAAAGGCCTTCATGCATATGTACTGAATCATCCCAAAATATAACAAATCTGCAAATAGGTTAAACAAAGCTGGGGTAAAAAATAATACTGTCCAAACAATTAGACTCACACCTGCAACAGTCTGTGACTTGCCATTTGCAACTCTAAGGGCCACACAGAGACTTTGCTAGTCATTACTTTGAACAGAAAGTTATCCTCAGCTCAGTTTGTTTTGGTTTTGCTTTGCTGTGATGAATAGCATAATTTATACAAGAGTAGAAACAGTCTTACATGATAAATCTCTTTTTGTGGTGTTTTTCTTCCTTCTAATTGGAAATTCGTCTATTTTCAATTCTCCATCATCTGAGACATATTCATATTCATCTTTCACAGGTTTTGCTTTATCTTCTTTGAAATTTTGTTGTGACCCAAATATACCAGGATTCAACTGAGTTTTCATTCCCTTTGATCTATTAAAATAAAGGAAATTAAATCAGGAAGGGCAATACTGAAACAAGTTTTAAATAAGAAATTTCATCACATTAGAGCCATTTTGACCTACAATAAATAACAAATACTTAGAATCCACAAATGGGTATATGTAGACAAACAGTGCACTATATAAATACATTTTCCAATATTACTGGAAAGTAGCCAGCAAGATATACAGTATGACCAAAATCCCTTCTGGGGATTTTTTAATCAACTAGGTATCTAAACCCACCATCGTTACAATCAACATCATCATCAGCAGTATCCCAGATCAATCCAGTGCTGAATGAATCATCACTGAAGATTATAGACAATAATCTACCACCCTTGTTCAGTGCTGACTATCAGTCAGTTTTTCACTTCCCAATCTAAGGAGGAAAGACACTGACCAGCCCAAAGGCACCCAGCCAGTTTCTGTGCACAAGAGACAAGTAGAATGTCAATTTCATGGCTTCATGTTAATCACTACACCACATTACCTTTAAATATATTAATGGTGTGAATAAGGTTCTACAACAGGAGTGTCAAACTGGATTTCTTTGAGGGCTGAATCAGCATTGTAGTTCTCAACAGGCTGATCGGGGGGAAGACAGGCCAGATGCCTCCTGCAGCACTTTGTCGGCCAAAACGGGATGTGGGGGAGCCACATGCGTCCCCCCCACACATCACATTTTCGGCCTGGATGACCTCCTGCAGCACTTTGCCAGCCAAAATGTATTGTATTGTAAAATTAATCTAATAAACAAGCCAATCAATATGTTGATCATCAACTTTTATAATCCATAGGTAGCCTAGCTGAGAAACTTTGGGAGTTGAAGTCCAACGTATTTGCAGGGGAAGCCAAACTTCAGCTAATTGGAAAGCTGTTAGCACCACATTTGCAGTGGTAGAAAAATCCAAATCAGATCCAAGCACTCTTGTGACATTGCGTAAGTCCATTGCATAATGTTAGTAATGCAAGCTTGGGCACAAGAGACCCGTTGTGGCTGCCAGAGGCACTGTGGGCCAGTCCGTTGCTATTTCCAGGCCGGCCATACAGGATAGATTTAAGCACCCTGTGGGCCAGATCCATCCTGCAGGCCTTGAGTTTGACACCCCTGTTCTAGAAGGAAGTATTTTCAATATTAAGCAAAAAACAAGAAAAAGGGCATAATCTCAAACTGACAGGAGGGAAGTTCAAAAGTAATGTTAAAAAGAATTACTTCACAAAAAGAATAGTAGACGCTTGGAACCAATTTCCAGCAGAGGTAGTGGGTCAATCCTCAGTAACTGAGTTTAAACATACTTGGGATAAACACATATCCATCTTCTGACAAAAATTAACAAAAAAATCCCTCACAGGGCAGACTTGATGGACCACTAGGTCTTTTTCTGCCATCAGTTTCTGTTTCCATATTTCTACCTCTGGCTTTCTCTCTCAAACATGCACACATACATGTTACATGGTACAGTTCAGAAACATATAACCTTTACCAGTGGTGAAATCCTGTGAAGTCTGCTACTGGTTCTGTGAGTCTGCTACTGAGCACACCCTTGTATTGAGGCACGCCCACGCAGTGCTAAAAAATGAACATTTTGAAGCCTTTCAAGTCTGCAACAGTAAGTAGAACAGCAAGGTGGGGGAATCCACTGTGCCACGCAATTTAGATTAGCTAGAAAGCAGGAAATCCAATGATTCTAGCTAATCTAAATCGTGCATCACAGCTGATCATTGCCCAGCTGATCGTCAGAAATACCAGTTCACCCGAACCAGTAGCATTTTTTATTAGCGGTTTGCCCGAACCGGTCCTAACCGGTAACTTTTCACCCCTGACCTTTACTAAGGAAGTGAGATATCACACTCCAATTACAGAAGAAAAAACAATAGAAATACAGAGGGTAACATTTATTCTCATTAAAAATAAAACTTTTTTTAAAAAAAATATTCTCATTATAAAAAAGATACAATTTCAAGTTTATTATTAAAAATGAGACATTTCTTATTCTGCTTATTTCGTTTTCATTCTTCAATTCGTTTGCTAAGCTACAAGTTTTATCTGTTCATGCACATGATTACAATGTGAAATAAATTCATGGATTCCTTTGTACACATGCTGTGCCTGGATCTGTGTGGCAAATAATGGTCCATTGCCTTCAATAAAGAGGCCTTATCCTACAGTGGATTTATTTGGGATAGTGATAACAACAACAACAATAACATGCTATGGAAATGTATGTTTCACAAACCATGACAGTGAATTTGCAAGAGTAGGTTAAGTTTATAATAATCATTGAAGCTCTCTGGCACTGAGTCATCAGCAATTATGCTCAGGAAACAATCATTTGAAAAGTTATTCTGCACAACTCCCCTGAGAATGAATGAGAATTGTCTAAGGGTACTTCAAGTGGGCACACATAATGGAGCTTTCCAAGCCAATTTGGTGTAGTGGTTAAGGTGTTGGCCTAGAACCCAGAAGACTATGAGTTCTAGTCCTGCCCTAAGTATGAAAGCCCATGGATGATCTTGAGCCAATCACTCTCTGTCCACTTCACTGGGTTGATGTTGTTGGGAAAATAACAGAAGGAAGGAGTATAAGGTACAGAGGTGAAATCCAGCAGGTTCTGGAGAACTGGTAGAGGAAATTTTGAGTTCAGAGAACCAGCAAATACTACCTCTGGCTGGCCCCAGAGTGGGGTGGGAATGGGGATTTTGCAGTATCCTTCCCCTAGAGTTGGGTGGCAATGGGGATTTTGCAGTATCCTTCCCCTGGAGTGGGGCAGGAATGGATATTTTGCAGTATCCTTCTGCCAATCCCACCAAGCCATGCCCACCAAGCCACACCACGCCCATCAAGCCACGCACACAGAACCGGTAGTAAAAAAAATGGATTTTCACCACTGATTAGGTACATTATAAAGTAACAAAGGCAGCATAAAGGACTAATAAATAAATACTCAACTTGTGGTACCTATTTTCTCCTTGTTTATAGTTTGGTCAATATAATAGGTCTATAACAAAATCAATTATATGTCTGGTTTAAATAGAAGTATAAAAAATAGATTACTAGAGAATCAAACAAATAATTATGAATAAAACTTCTATCTCTTTTGTGTGGCAGATGGTATTTATCATTCTGCTAAGAGAATCAACTTAAATATAATTATCAATGCTTGACCAGCATTGGTAGACTAATATTAAGTGGTTTATTTTAAAACTCATCTGATAGACTAGGTGTTCATTTGCTAGGAACTGATCGACCTCTATTGATCTTGAAAGTTAAAAAAAATGTACTGTATTAAATTCAAATGCAGCACCATCTGGTCCACAATATAATCATATATAAAAACTCTGAAATAAATAGTTCATATGCATTCTACAGACAAACTCATTTATGCAGAAAAAATAATATGAAAAATGAAAGATGTTATCAACCAAATGTTCTATTATTAATATCTACTAGTACTATTGAATTCAGTCTTTGCCAACTGAGCAGTATCATTAGTATCACTAAAATGAGATTTTCTTACTTCAGAAGAAAAATCTGAACAAAGGTAACAAAAATGAGTTCATTTATCTTAGTTGTCAAGACACAGCATGAAATAATTACTTTCAGGTTAGACTGAAAGAAATGAAATGTTATTAATGATGGTGATAACATTGATTAAAGCAGTTGCAGATGTTTAAGACTGTTAAAAATTGAGAGGGAGGGTGCTGACATGGGATTGTACCAATATGAAAGTACATGTTTATGATTACAGATAAGTAGCATCCATTATGACTTCTATATTCCTTTCTATTCTTTCCCCAAATTATAAATCGAAAGGATGAAGGCACACTGAAGTTAGGGAAAAAAGGAAAAGGAATTTATAATGGCTGCCCACTCCAGTAGAGTCAAATGACTAGGCAAGAAAGACAGATGGAAGGTCTTCTGAATAGCAAGTCAGCACCTATAGCATCATGCAATGGCATATGTAGATTTCCAAATTAAAATATTCTTGAAGCTGTTCTTGATCCAACACTACTTCTCACCAGGCATTGCTAGGACCATTCCTTCCCCATGTCCTAATAATTGACCAGATTCTTCATTATGTAACAAGGACCCTCACCTGCAAACAGAAAATCTTTATCCTAACTTTGAATCAGTCATGCCTGACATAGTATCATGCCAATTTTCTAGTAAAGGCAGGGAATCTGGGCCTCCGCATCCTCACCGGTGTGAGAAAAAAACATTGGAAACCACCAGGATCTGAAGACTGTACTGTCAAGTCTGATGCTCTAAACTACCAAGACTAAGTCAAAGGTTTATCTTTAAGGGATGGGCCCATCATCTATCAACTCTTCTGTCTGCCTCCTATGCTTACAATTTTATCCCAAAATGAAATCTTTATTGACAGTTCTTTTAAGAGTCAGATTTTAATTAAACTATAGCTCTAGCCTTCTATATCTCCACAGAGATAAATCATTTCTGGATACATCACTCTTTTCTAATTAAAATCCAAAAGGCCTATAGTGTACCTTTGCTTATTTAGTCCTTAATTACATAGGCTTTTATGCTTGCTTTGGTCATTAGGGCTCTTATCAGTTCATAGTCAACAATAAAGAACAAAATAAATAATGTATATTCCCTAACATAATAGAAATAAATCATACTATTGAATATACCTTGCATTACTGGAACAACAATTCAGCCTATGATCATCATGAAAGATAGCACCAAATGTCATCAGAACATTGTCACTTTGCAGGTGCCTCCCATAAAACCTCAGATCTCTAATGCTTTTTTAAAGAGCCAGTTCTTCCCTCCCTTTCTGATTGAGAGAAATGAGGCCCTTAACTTTTGTTTGTTTGTTTGTTTTTTTCCCATACTATAGGACTGTGGGCAAATAAAGCTTCCTTGCCTCCTCACTTCCTTCTTTCTTCCCTCCTTCTCTCCCTTAACGACCTGACCACTGAATCAACTTAGATGGGATCAACTCATTTCTGTAGTTCTAGCTCTAGACTTCAATTTGCTGAGAACAAATAGCCCAATGGAATAAAAGTTTGGTCTAGTTGTTAAGGAGTTAGCTCAGAAACCAGGAGACTGTGAGTTCTAATCCTGTCAGCTGGGTGACTGGTCCAATCTGTCTTCAGCCCAACTACTCAGGATTGTTATTGTGGGGAAAATGGGAGAGGGAAAAAGTATTAGGTATGTTTGCCACCTTGAGTTGCTAATATGGTAAAAGCAGGCAGGATAAAAATCTAACAAATAAATAAAATAAAATGTTAAGAGCGGTACAAATCTATATGTACTTATATATGTATAAGTAAATATTATATATATGAGTGTGTGTGTGTGTGTGTGTGTGTGTGTGTGTGTGTACGTACGTACGTATTTGTTTTCTGAGGTTTTCGCGGGTATTTGTATGTAGGTCTTTGGTTATTCGGGTTTTGTCCCGTCTAAAATTGGAGGTGTCTTGGCAATGTTTCGACGAAGTCTCATTCAGTCATCTTCAGGCTGCTGTTCTCGGCTTCGTGCTTCTGATGATGAATTTTACGCGGGAGAAAACCCAAATAACCAAAGACCTACATAAGTACATATGTATATATGTGTATACATATGTATACATATAGTATACATATATAAGTACATATGTACTTATATCTATGTTTAACTGGGAATAATATTATAGGACATATCTAGCAAATTATGAAATGTGGAAGGGTTGCAAAAATCAGAGCAAGTACTATTTTTATTAGTCAGTGTTCACCTACCCCAGTATTTTCTTGTTGGAGAAAGAAAACATAAATTTGTTGTCTTTATTTCCTGATAATGGTGTCTTCTCCAGTTTGTGCTCCTCTTCCATTTTCAGTAATGAATCAGGTTTACTGTTCTGAAAATTAGAGGGCAACAGTTATTATTTCAGCTGCTAGACTATTTGTTGCTGCATAGAATCAATGGCATATAAATAGCACAGTGTACATCCCAGCTTTCCTTCCATAAGAACTGTTCTGAGTCATATAATCTGTTACAAAGTGAAAATACATATGTTGACTTAATTGGTAGTAGGGCTGCTCAGGAAAACCCTAAATAGTTCAGTAACACAGCAACAAGAGTACTGAAATGGTCCTCATGGTTGGCTGCTTAAAACAATAATGTTCCTTGGAGCCTTAAAACTGCCATGGAATTTTAACTGCAGTCTAAAACATTGAGTTCAATTTTATGTGACAAAACTAAGAGGAAAGCAGAACGAAATTGGGGGTGATAGAAAACAATTACCATTCCACTGGTTATGTATGTAAGGGCACAAGATATTGGTTAAAAATGTGCTGTATCTTAAATTTCCAACAAACAAATCCAATGGGTCGTGACATTTCACAGACATCTGCAACTGGATCACACAGAAAAGCTCACATCTTACTTTGTATGGATGTGAAAATGTGAATCAGGCTCCAGTGAGATTTATAATGAGACAGGGCACAAGAGACAGGATGGACTCGCACACTAGCTCTGTGCCTCTGCTGTGTTGATGAAAACTATTTCCCAAATTGTGAAATAAATGTGCATCTATAGGATCAATTAAAAATACATCAATACAAATGGGACTGTACATTGGTCAAGTGATTATACTAATTGCACAGTAAACTGAATCCAGAGATCTCTTGTGAATAGAAGAATTTCAATCTACAAAATGAAATCCAATGCACAATATAGCTGAAAGGAGAGAGTCAAGGTGCATTGTTCACTTATTTTCCTGCCTCATTGCAGAATCCTATTCAAATCTCCTCTTCACTACTACACTGGTATTTCAAAATTATTTGGAGAAAGAGTATCAGCAAAAATTGCTTCTTTTTCTTCACCTTAGCAGAAGTTTCTCATAATTAGAACTATGCTAAATGAATATTTGTGCAAATATTGGCAATAATTAGTGTTTCTCATACATATTCTATGATTCTGAACTCCAAATAATTTCTTGGACTAATTTATTTCATTTTTAATCATTTAATCAATTTTTTTTTTTACATTCTGTGTTTCATATGCTGTATTAATTGCAAACTGTCTTTAAATGTTGTTTGTTAACAAATAGGCAGCATATATGTCAACAATTAAATAAATAGTTGATTTTAGTTGAACTGAATCAATTCAATTGCAATCATTTTTGGCAACGCAATTTGTCCCCAAAACGGACAAAAAACAATCAGTCAGTAAGTGAAATAGTTTTCTAGTACTGAGATGAAACTGCAAAATATCCTTTTTTCCCTGTAACCCCCCCCCAAAAAAAACCCCCAAAAAGAGAAACAAAAAACAAATTAACTTTCAGGTATTTTTGTGCTAATGATATGCACCAAATCTTGCCCTCACTCTCAATTAGTTTGTGATAATCATTTCTAAAAGTCAAAAAAAAAAAAAAATCTCCATCTCTGAAAAAGTTCAATAAAAAAAATCTTAAAGAAGTAATTCGTTGGAGCAGCAAACTATCTAAATAGCACCAAAAAAGATACCAGGAGAAATTTCAGAGAACATTTCTCCAATCGGTATTCCTAATGAGCACTAAACTTAAGTATGGTCCTTACTAAAATGTTTATTGACGCCCAAGATATGAGAGGCTGTACCTTATATTTCCATTTTGCTTCCGTTTTAGATTTATTCTGCTCCCGAATCTCAAACTTTTCCACTTCATTTTGCTTATCAACGGATTCTTTAGTAGGGGTGTTCAAAGCATTCTTGGCAGCCTAGTTAAAAGTAATAAAGAGATTGGCAGCTAATTTCAAATGAAAAGACAACAAAACATGTCTCTCTCCTACTAATTCCCATATGTCAATTTGGCTAGTACGAATTTTCAAAATAATAGGAGCTGAGATTTGTCTAGAAATAATATGACACCAAAAGTTAAAACATCAAAGGTCATCAAAGAAAAAAAATGTTTTTTTGTTTATTTTAAAAGCACTATAAGGTGCAGATAATAAGGAAAACGGGTTAATCTGCTAATCTAATATTCTATTTGTCATATTGTGAACCAATTCTCACAATTTGTGCAATCCATAGCAATCTCTAACATGTGGACTAATCAAAAACAAAACTTCATTACTTCATTAAGTCCTAGAAATTCTTAATGAAGTAATGGAGTCCTGTTTTTGATTAGTCCACATGCTGGAGAACTCTATGGATTGCACAAGTTGTGAGAATCGGTTCAAATTCTTCATATTGCCAGTGACACTGGTAAAAGTACTACAACCTTCCATCTTAGATCCCCACTCTAGTGTGATCATCCACTGATTTATACAATAAAACAATCCAATAAACTAGTAAAAAGCACAGAGAGAAAACTGTCACTGTCACCACATCTAATTTCATAGAGGGAACCCATACAAAACCAAGGCAGCTGGAAGTCAAGGGCATGGACTGAGCAAGGTATATCAATTTGGAAATGATGTTTATAAATTATGCTTGGATATTGAGAATTTGGAAGCTCGCCTATTCCCATGAGCTAAAAAGGAGATCATACAAATTTTATAAATAAACAAACAAACAAACAAACAAACAAACAAACAAACTACCAAGAGATCTCTGGCCTCAAATTAATACTGAATATTCAGTTAATATTCTGCTCACCTTTCCTTTCTTTGGTGTTTCAATCTTTGTTAGGGCCTCTTTTGTGTGGGCCTCAAGAAGGTCTAAATTTGGAATGGCAGGTGGAGGCGGTTCTTTAACCTTTTTGCCTTTTTTCTTCCCTTCCCCCTTTACTTTTGGGGTTTTGGGGGGCTTGGGGGGCTTGGGGGGCTTGGGAGGTTTAGGTGGCTTGGGAGGTTTAGATAGTTTGGTGGGTTTCGGTGCTTTTATTGCTTTGGGAGTCTTTTTCTTAGGGACTTTTTCAGCCGGTGTTGGTGGTGGAGAAGGTGGTGGTGGAGGCGGCGATGGTGGCGGAGGAGGTGGTGGCGGAGGCGTTTGTGGTGGAGGTGACGGTATTTCTTCTTTCTCCACAGGAGTGATTTCCTCAACATTCACATTAACACTCACTTCAGGTTTGCTGACTTTCAAAGCATTCTTCAGGAAAAGAGAACACAAGCATATTGTCAGGTCAACGTTCATATTTTTGTTGCTACAAAATAGCTAAACTTCTACATTATTTTCAGAATTTTCCCAAAGATTTCTAAAGAAAACTACTGAAGATTGACAGTACTCAGAGAGAAAGCCAGAGTTGCTTCATGGTTTTATCGTATCTTGCTCCACTTATGACAACTATAGAAAACTGAGGATATAATCCATTCTTTGGTTATTCTCCTATAGTTTATTTTTAAATTTCATGATGGGACTGAGAATATTGAACCCAAATGGTATGATTCATTGAAAAACAATTTATACCACTTACTATTTCACTTTGTAATTTGTACAGTGTTTTTATTTTGTTACATGTAATATTGCAATAAAGCAATGCCATTTTGGTATGTTTTTCCAGGAAAATGTACCTTATACACCAACATAAAATGTTACATACTTTGGTTCTGAGCATTAATGTGGCAGGTTGCCTTTATTTCTTTGTATGTGTTGTATAGTTTCTATAGACTCTATAGAAAAAGAGTCACTCAACAAATAGATGGGCAGCATATAATTTAATATAAATAAATAAATAAATCTGAAAAGGCCTCACTTAAACATGTCTAGATAGTCTTATACTATAAAAAAGGTTGTTTTTATTAAGAAAATGTCACCACCAATATTTTATAACAGAAAAAATATAATAATTTTAAATATAGAGATTTGCTAAATTGTTTTTTCTATTATTCATTTGGGGTTTTTTTTAAATCCTAGTTTTTCCTATTTTTCTTTTTTACTAAAACAATAGAAATAAAAAAGAAATGAAGACAGCCTCTTATTTTAATTGCTAATCAGTTAAAATTAATTTGAAAGAGATACAAGAGAGAATTTTATTTTGCTGTCAAGGTAAAATGATCAGTAAAAGACCAATATAAATCAGACAATTTTATTGAGATTTTATCTACTGTCCTTTACAGTAAAAATTACATCTGAAAGCTTCCTGGAGGGCTGCAAAGATGACAAAGCATCTCTTCAACCTGGAGTTCCCATATCTCTTGGCAAACCTCTCCTATTTCATCATTTACTCTTTGTTGCCCTATCAAGTTGCCAAATTAAGTCCAAACTCAGCGTGAGAAATAAATATATGTCTTGCTTTTATGTGCAGATAAAAGAAGAGAGGTATCTAATAGAAGTTATATATGGGTAGCCTCATGACTCATGACGGTTATGGAGCCTGCCGTAAGGATGAACAACTGTGGGATGCTGCAGCAACCATAACTTTGAGACCAGGTTGTAAGTAGCTTTTGGAGGGTCAACTATAACTATGAACCATCTCTAAGTGAACAGTCAATCATAAATCAAGAAGTACCTGTAAAGATGTATTAGATAAAGCAAACTGTAATGGAATACAGTTGTTACATTTCAACACGTACATCATTGATACATGGTCTAAAATGAATACTTTTTTCCCACATTTAATTACAAGCCATAGCTGTTGTAATTAAAGGAGAAGGAGTTTGACTGATCATACAGACATGAGAATAACTTTTTCTGGTATTTTATGAGAAAATGCATGAGGTATTTTATTCAATAATGGATTCTTACTTCGCTTAATCTTATTTCTTTGGCAAGGTCCTTAATCAGTTGTGCTGGCTTAAAATGTTCTGGGAGTTCATCTTCATGGTCCACTAAAGCCTTCAGTTGAATAAAACAAAATACAAAAGGTTAAAACATCGTCAAGAAATCTTATCAGGTTATGCTATTTAAAAATCATGCAGTATTAACTTTATGGAGCATTCAAAGGAGAAAAAAAACTAGTAGTTTAGAATTATGAAAGGACGTTTATGCATTCACAGCAAGTTCCTACGTATGGAAAGGGTCCAGAGCCACTTATGGAAAGAAAGCGGCATTTTTAAAAATCTGTTTCCTTCCCAACCCAAATCCTTTATGTGATCCCCACTTTCTTGCACTTCATTCTGCCACGTCCCCCTCTTAGAATTCCAAGTGCATTTCCTAAACATTCATTTCAGTGCTACGACACAAGTACATCTGAATGACAGTACAAGTCTGGATGTAAAACTGTTCTGCTCTTACAGAAAGAAAATTCTGTTACCGATAAAGTTGTTCACTTCCTCTTTTTCTGAATTGCCATGCAAATTTATACAACAGAAAGATCCCTACCTGCTTTTTAGTCCAAGACCTGAAAGCACCATTTAGAATTTTTGCTCCCTGGACTAAATGGGAAGGAGGCTGCTTTCCAGCTTTGTGCAATCCTTAATAGAGGGGAAAAAATAGAATTCCATTCAATGAATTTGACCAATTGTCTATTGATGTAGCTTTTTAAAATCATATATGTAAGAGGTTAAACTGGCTGTCAAAAAGCTTGTGAATTGAACTTCTATGACCATAAATCAGTAGTTCCAAAGCTTGAAGATTAGTTTTGAATCTGAGCTTGAACTTCCTGAACTTCCCATTTGTATTTTGCTGAGCTAATTTTCTTACTTGACCAAAAGCAGAGTCAGTAATTTCTGATTGACCACAAGCAGAGTCAGTGATTTAGTGATGATATTCTAACTGATAAAAGCTGTGCTGACCCAAATGGGGATGCTGGTATTCGAAGACATAGAATTGAAGCCAACACTGCCTTAGTATATACACCATTCCCAAGTACTCTATTCCATGTTGCCCCCTCTCTAAGTCCCTAGCTAAAAATTAGGCAAATGAAATTTACATGATTTATGCAAATCCATCCTCTATCTACTTTATCAATATGAGATTCCACTTCAGTCTCCCTCACCCAACTCATTGTGTTTTCCCTACTGGGAAGTTGTGGATTTTGAGAAATTCATCACTCAAGTAGGCTTCTCATGCTCAATACTGTACTTTCATATTTTTAAAAGTAAAGCATTTAAGCAAAACATCGATTTCCACTCTATGAGTCCTCATCTGTTGATTCATTATTATATGTTCATATGCAAGCATCTCAAAAGTTAGACAAAAATTGCCATATCAGTCCAAATTCAGCTTTTTCTATACTCCTTGCCTACTAAAGTTTAATGCAAAATGCTAAAGTTTAGCATTTTGGACAAATGCAACCAATATCCGAATTGGCCATTTATATTGATACAACAGTTAAGAAATGATGAACACTTTCAATACTATATTTTTTAAAAATCATAAGAAGATGAAAACCATGTGACCAAAGTAAACAATAATTCCAAGAATACAAGAAGAAAGAAGAAAGGAACACATAGAATGAATTTATGTAGGGAAAGTTAGGAAGCTTTGGAAAGTTGATGTTAAAAAGTTATCTTCAGAAGAATATAGGCCAAAACTTGAGATCAAGACCAAGTAACAATTTGTCTAGTACAGGAGTGGCCACCAAGTATCCTGCAAGTATCCTACTTCAGTACTCCATTTGTAGCTACTGGGATCACTGGCAAAATAGGACAACAAAATGTTAACTTGGGTGACAGAATATTTTCTTCCAAAATAAAAGTATGAACATGATTTGGAAACCACCACAAAGCTAATCACTTACATTGCCTAAGTTCCCTCAAACAAGCTTGGTGAAATTAACCCAGTGTGCAGTGTGTCTCCAAATGTTGGAGACACAATTTTTAATTGTGAAAGGGGACTGCGGATTGAAGGACAGAAATGAGGGAAGTTTGCCTCCAAGATATGTGTCATTATTTATTTATTTATTTATTTATTTATTTATTTATTTTATTGCAATTTATATGCCGCCCTTCTCCCGAGGGACGCAGGGCGGCTTACAAGATAAAAAAATTCAACAATATGAATTAAATATAAGTTAAAATCCAATTAAAATTAATTAAAATTATTACAATGTAAAAACCCCATTAACGGGTCAGTCCATTTGATGAAAAAGCCACGTCTTCAGTTCACGGCGGAACGAGAGGAGGTCGGGGGCTGTCCTAAGCTCGGTGGGCAAACCGTTCCAGAGGGTCAGCGCTCCCACAGAGAACACTCTCCCCCTGGGGGCCACCAACTGACATTGTCTGACTGATGGCACCCTGAGGAGGCCTGCTCTGTGAGAGAGCACAGGACGATGGGAGGATGCAGAAGATGGTCCTGCAAGTACCCCAGGCCTAAGCCATGTAGGGCTTTTTAGGTGAGCACCAGCACCTTGAAACGAACCCGGAGGACCACCAGCAGCCAGTGCAGCTTGCGCAGGAGAGGTGTTACACAGGAGTAACAAGAGGCTCCCGTAACAACCCGTGCGGCCACATTCTGGACTAGCTGAAGCCTCCGGGTGCATCCCAAGGGCAGCCCCATGTAGAGGGCGTTACAGTAATCCAACCGAGAAGTAACAAGGGCATGAGTGACCATGGCGAGGGCATCCCAGTTTAGGAAAGGGCGCAACGGGAGCACCAGGCATACCTGTGCGAAAGCCCCCCTGGTTACGGCTGTCAAGTGATCTTCTAAAGACAGCCATGAATCCAGGAGGACACCCAGATTGCGAACCCTTTCAGAGGGAGTAAGTACTTCCCCTCCTATCACAAAGTGACGGAACCACTAGATCCCGAGATGCCGGCATCCACAGCCACTCGGTCTTGGATGGGTTGAGTCTGAGTCTGTGTCTTCCCATCCAGGCCCGCACCGCTTCCAGGCAGCGGGACATCACAGAAAGGGCATCCCCAGGGTGGCCTGGGGTGGAGATATAAAGCTGAGTATCATCAGCATATTGATGATACCTCACCCAAAACGACAAATGATCTCACCCAGTGGCTTCATATAGATGTTAAAGAGCAGGGGGGAGAGAACCGACCCCTGAGGCACCCCACATGTGAGGGGCGTCGGGGAGGATCTCTGTCCCCCCGCCTATACAAACTGCGAGTGACTCGAGAGGTAGGAGGAGAACCACCGTAAAACAGTGCCTCCTATCCCCAGCCCCCCGAGTCGCTGCAGCAGGATACCATGGTTGATGGTATCAAAAGCTGCTGAGAGGTCAAGTAGGACCAGGATAGAGGAACAGCCCCCACCCCAGGCCCGCCAGAGATCATTCACCAGGGCGACCAATGCCGTTTCCGTGCTGTGACCGTGCCTGAAACCTGATTGGTACGGGTCAAGGTAGTCTGTTTCCTCCAGGAATTGGGGGAGTTGCTGTGCCACCACGGACTTGACAACCTTCGCTATAAAGCGAAGGTTGGAGACTGGACGATAGTGATAGTTGTTAAGGGAGTCTGGATCCAGGGTAGGCTTCTTAAGGAGGGGTCAAACCACCGCCTCTTTAAGTGTGGCAGGGAAGACCCCTTCCTTTAAAGAAGCATTGACAACAGCCTGGATCCAGCCTCCAGTTACCTCTCTGGCTGCAGAAACAAGCCAGGAGGGACAAGGGTCCAATAAACAGGTGGAGGCACCAAGCCGACCCACAATCCTGTCCACTTCATCCACCGAAACAGGCTCAAACCCAACCCAGATGTTACCTTCAAGACAAGCCCTCGTCTCCTCGATAGACTCTGCCCAGTCAGAGTCCAACCCAGTCCGGATCTGAGCGATTTTATCTTGCAGAAACTGTACAAAATCCTCAGCTCTGCCCTGCAAGGGGTCTTCCCTCGTTCCATGATTGAAAAGAGAGTGGGTCACTCTAAACAGGGCTGCTGGGTGGTTTTCTGCAGATGCAATGAGAGCGGTGAAATAATGGCGTTTCGCCGTTTCCATTGCCACAAGATAAGACCTAATATGGGTTGTTAACTGTGTTCGGTCAGATTCCAACTGGGAGGAGCTCCAACCGCCCTCCAGGCATCTTTTCTGATTATAGCCCTTAAGAAAGCCCTAAAAGGAAAAAAAATGTGCAGGAAAAATGGTATTGTCATTTCTGATTATCTGAGCATTATTCCAATGACAGAGCCACAAGCTGTGAGCCCCCCACCCCACAACATTTATTTCCCACTCATGATACAATGGGTGGTGAAATTATGGAATTTGTTTACCACAAAATACAGTGATAATGTTAAAAGGCAGTTAGGCAAATATACTGAGGATTCACCTGTTAATCTTTGCTTCTAGATTGCTACCATTCCAATCCTTTCTTCAAACAGTCTTGTATTATACTCAAATCACCTTCAGCATCAAGGTGTTGTCAATATTATGTTAATAATATTAACATTAAGGTCAGTTT